AATAAGCTTGGATCCTTACTGACCTTTGATGATTTATCTTTTTATATAAGCAATTTTCTTGAACTTTTGAACTATTCTACAACCTAAAATACACCACTGTTTTGTCTCATTTGGCTTATCTGAAGTGCAATTTATAGGAATGACTAAGTAAATTACAAGGCAATTTTATGCCAATAACCTTCCCTAGATCAACACAGAATCTATTTAAATAATAACTGACCTCAAAACTTTTTTGATAGCTTGTTACAAACACAATACCAAATTCTCTGYATATTATGTTCTATTTCAAAAAAATTTTCAGATGGATAGTCCTCATTGAAAGCATTTTTCAAAGAGTCAACAACGTAAAGACAAAGTCTCTCTTGATTTGATTTTCATGATTCATCTGACTTTTATGCATGCTGTAGTACTATACACATTGTTTGATTACATTTTCATATTTTCCCAAATCCCATCATCTAAGAAAATGGGATGCAATGTTGTCAGCACAACTGATAATTTCAGAACAACCTCAGCACTGATGATTCATATTCAAAAACTTTCTTATTATGCTTTTTAACATTATAGAAGAGATTTAACAATTTATATTGTTAACCTATGCTCATTTAAATTTTTAAGAACTTTGGAAAGATCTTCTCATTGTCCAATCTGCAACCTTGCTAATATTAAAAATTCTTGAGGGGAAGTGCACRTTATTCAAAGTGTTGCTTCCATGTACAAGCTTTTTCAGTACTTAAACTGCTGCTGTAACATCCTCCTAAAATTTATAAAACTACAAGTAATCGGATTGGTTTAGATCCCTTCACAAATTATATTTCAGTTTGAATTTTCAAATACATTTGCTGTGAGTTTCCTTTGCAATCCATTTCTTCTTCATATAGGATAATCATGGAATCACGGAATGGTGTTGGTTGAAGGAGACCTTAAAGACTATACAGTTCTAACTCACCTACCATTGGTAGGGGCATATTCCACTAGACCACGTTGCTCAAATCCAAGAGTTAAGCATTTACAAGTAAACCCAGAAATACTATTAATAAATTAATATTCACCACCGGAAGATTTCTCTTGACTGTATATTTCCAGACATAATTATGATTTACAAATAAGTCTAGTAGATGGATCTTAAACTACTGCTTTACCACAGTYATAAAAAGCAATGCAGATAGGAAAAGAGTAAGAATTATTTTTATATGTCAAAATTCTTACTGCTGTAMATGGAATGAAGTTGTACTCCAGTGTTCATGCAAGATTAGAAAAAAAGAATGGTATTCCCCCACTATGAGCTGTACATACAGCAGCCCCTCAGAAGGGCCTCAACAGGGTAGAGAGATGGGCAGAGAGAAGGCAGAGAGAAACCTTCTGAAATTCAACAAAGGCAAATRCAGGGTCTGCAAATTCAAGTGCTACTGCGAGGAATAACTGCAGATGATCAACCTGCTGGAAAGCAGCTCTGTGCAGAAGGACCTGGGGGTCTTAGTGGACAACAAGCAGTCCATGAGCCAGCAGTGTGCCCTGGTGGCCAAGATGGTCAGTGGTGTCCTGGGGTGCATTAGTAAGAACATTGCCAGCAGGTCAGGGGAGATGATTCTGCTCCTCTACTGTGCCCTGGTGAGGCACATCTGGARTGCTGTGTCCAGTTCTGGGCTCCTCAGTACAGGAGAGACAYGGAGCTCCTGGAGTGGGTCCAGAGGAGGGTTGAGACGGTGAGTAGGGAACTGGAAAATCTCACTYAGGAGGAAAGGCTGAGGGAGCTGGGCCTGTTCAGCATCAAGAAGAGACAACTGAGAGAGGACTGCATCTGTCAGTATCTGAAGAGAGGGTGCCAAGAGGATGGAGCCAGGCTCYGCTCGGTGGTGCTGAGCAATAGCACAAGAGGAAAGAGGCACAAACTGATGCACAGGGGGGTTCCACCTGAACACAAGGAAGGAATTCTTTACTGTGTGGGTGACCAAACTCTGGAGCAGATTTTCCAGAGATATTGTGGAGTCTTTCTCACTGGAGAACTGCCTGGATGCAATCCTGTGCCATGTGCTCTAGGATGACCCTGCTTGAGCAGGGACATTGGGCCAGATGACTCCCTTCAAACCTTACCCATTCTGTCATACTAAGACTTGTAGATTACAGTGTAGGATATATTGGAAACTAAAAGTTATGAAGGAGGAGGCCAACTACTCTTCTTTTTTCTTTCCTCCCTTATTTTTCTTAAACTGAAGAGTGAATGTGGATATCATTTCCAATACACAAGATACAAACTGAAATACACAGGCAAACAAGTATTAATATAGGAAATTTACCAACAAGTAATAGCATATTATGTCACAATATCATTTCAGAGGCAAAAGAAAAAGTGATGAAAACTAGAATGGGTTTAAGAAGTACATCTAGAAGTTTATGAGATGCAAAGGTTACCTAATGTTTATTAATCTACTTGTCAATTAAACATTGTATAACAGAGTTCAAGAAAGGGGAAAGACTTTAAGCTTCCTTTTAAAAGGTTAATTACCTAGGGTAGAATAAAAAAACAGGYAATGGTAACTGGGCAATGTAAGACAAAGACAAATTTATGCAGAGCTGAGAAAATCTTCTTAAAGAAGCATATGGCCTTTTAGCATTAAACTCTAATTACATATTGCATATACTGAAAGAAACAATAGAATTGTACTTATGAAAACAAATAATCATGAGCAGTTATGAAGTGATTTCATAGGTGTTTYCCAGTTCTAAAGCTATTTTGTTCTGATTCTACTTTGTTCTGATTCTACTCCAGCTTAACCCACTGTCTGAAGTTAGTGGTATTAAGTCATTATGATTTGCACACGATGAAAAGTTGGTATAATCCCCTAGTGAGTCACTGTTTAGACAGAAGACATACTGAAGATTGCATGATATGATAAAAGGTATTTTCAATCATGCAATATGCTTCATCTTATTTAACACCACCCAGAAAAAAATCCTCATGAAAGTTTGCATTTGAGAAGTGCTTTCTTTTAATCTCTTAGATTTTTTATTGGTTTGTGTGTAAGAAAACGCTGCTCAGCAAGCCTGAAATCAACTACTGTGCAATGSCACTCTTCCGTGTAAGAAAGAACTGGCTAGGTTATAAACACATTTCTTTTTTTTTTTTATAACATTAATCTCCAATGCTTTAGCAAGTAACAAATTGGAAATATAAGTTGGCATGCAAAATTATTTTTTCATGRCAGCAGGCCAGATTCTGGTTTTATTTATTAGTATGACTCCCTTACATCAAATTATTCTTTACTGTTGCTGGCATATACCTGAACCTGGAAACTAGCCCAATATTTAGAAAAGACAGATAACTTTTCCAAGAGTGAAAGAGTAATAGAAACTGACAAATATTTAAGTTTCAGTAGTTTTGAGCTGCAAGTACAAAGGGGTATATATATATATATATATATATATATATATATACAGTTCCCTGGACAGAGTTGAATGGCAAATATAACAAAGCACAGATAAAGGAGTACAGGCTCTTCAGTTAGATGACATGACATCTGACCATAGAGTATACAAAATTTAAAGAGTACAAGATTCCTCTACTGAAAAGAAGATAGTAATACTGCTTCAGCAGTCTGGGGAGTGAAAAGCATTTACTCTTATCCATCTTTTGCCCCCATATACTTGAATCAGCTGCTTGACAATGTGTACATTTTTTTAACAAAAACAAAACCTTGTCAAACATAGAATTAAAATCAAGTTCCTTTTCTAGGAAATGACTGAGCACCAAGATGCATGATGATACCCATTGTCCTTTTCTTCTCTCCCTTCTAATTATAGTTAATTTTATTTTYAATAACTTCAAGCCAAAAAACCAACTCCATCTCGATTTTATACCATATTCAAACACTAGTCTTGGAACATTTTGATCTCAGGGAAAATCTTTCCCAAAAGCCTTCTACACTACACAGGGATCAGTGGACATGCACATCTCTCAAACTGTCAGGGGAAGGGCTCAGCCAGTGTGTGGGTCCCAGAGGTTCTGGGACCACTGTCTGTTGTAATGAGGTCTCCAGTAATTTTTGTCAATTCTCCCTGCAAACATGCTCACTCAGTTACGCTGCCTAAGTACCTGCACTTTTGCACTTTCAAAACCAGAACTTAACATTCCAACTTTTAAAAGGTTTTGTTTTTTGTTTTTTTTTTTTTAAATGCTAACGCAAGTGGAAACAAATTCAAGCACTTGGTAGGATAAATCACAAACAACCTAGAGGATGTCTGCTCAGGGGAAATCACTTAGAAACTGAGTTCCCAGGGTATGCTAGAAAATGACTTTGTATAAAACTGGGGTTTAGAAAGATTAATATATGGATATCTTTTGTTATCTCATCCCACTTTTGGTCCAAAATGAATAATAGAGACTTCAAACAGCACAGACACAACTAAGAATTTTCAGTCCATAGAATTCAAAACATAAATATTAAAACCTTTTAGTATTTAAAGCAGAAAACKATGCTTATTCTTAATGCTGGAACACCAATAATATATGTTATCTATGCAGCAGATTAATAACCAACTCATAAAATTCACAAGTTACCAAAGTACAAATAAATTAACATTTAATGACTACTGTCAGCAATGCTTTCATCAAGTAATTTATATTCCAACAACTGCAAACAATGCTCTTTACACTCAGTAGATTCCATCATTATACTTTCATATAGTATAAAGTATACGTCTATACAGTATAAAGTATACCTTCATATATTATAAAGTACATTTTCATATGACTACAATATTAATTAATAGGATAAATTTTATAAGATTTGCCTTTTGGCAGGTCTGTTGACACAATGGTAGAAGAAAAAACCTTCAGCTGGTAAAAGCTAAACCCATATAAAGATGTGGTAAGCAGTCATCATCAAAACTGTTTATTTAAAATCATGCCTGTTATGTTCAGGTATTGATTTGAAAAACGCATCATGTAATGACAAAATCAAGACTCCAGAAAGAACTGTGACCTGGTGTTTTATATTTACCTTTGGTATTCCAGAAGTGTCAAGCCAGTTCTGGAAGATGCTTTCTACAGTCAACCCACACCTTTAAGAAGAAAATAATAATTAGAAGACATGCAAACCCCCCCCCCCCCAATATTTTCCATATGAAAAGTAACCCCTTACATGTTAGGCAAACCCCCTAATTCTAAGTATTGGTTGTACTGCAGTGGTACTATATTCTTGTTTCCTTTTAAGGAATAAAACCATCATACAAGCAAAGGTAGATCAGATTTTGTGTACCTAGGGCTCAAATTATAAACTTGCTTCTTATAAGGATTGACAGAGAAAGTGTTAGGTGGTAAACTGCATTTATGAAACATATGAAGAATGAATGGGTGCTCTACTTCCATTTTTTACAGAAAAATGTCTCAGTCAAGTAAATTTATACTGAAACATTCCAACCCAGTATTTTATTACAGAGACAGCCCAGCAGTAAAGATAAAATACTAACTAAGATGAAATTAAATATAAACTTGCTTAAACTTGGGGTTTTAAAAAGCACTGATATTAATTCTCAAAGTTAGCAAGTGTCTAATATATTTTAGTTTTGTCTTTTCTGCACTTTCTTAATATTCTGATACATTCACAGTGAAATCATGGAATAGTTTGGAGCTCCAGCAAAAGGAAGTAATTCCTTTTGGGACTGAAATAACAACATGTGTAAGTATTTGCAAATTCACAAATTATATTTCCACWTTTGCTTTTGTAGGTAACTTCTGTAGCATTTACTTGAACTCTGGTTGAATACTTCCCAACTTTCAGGGTAGCCAAATAAATAAATAAAATCATCTAAAGTTTTAAAACAAKTTAAAAAAATACAAATTCACAGTGTCCATGCAGTATGAAATATGTGTGTACTGAAAAAAGGAAGTTGAGTAAGCCCTCAATGTATGTAAATATTCTGAGAATCAGAAAAAATGTGTATGGTCCTGTGCATGGTAATGCCTTGGCAACTCATTCTAATGCTCGCAGTTACTTTCACACATGTAATGTAGACTCAACCAACAAAGCATTCGTGAAAAGAACAGCCATTTCCAAGCTCCGAATCAGGAAGAAAAGCAACCCAATAAAAATTCCTCTCTGATCATGTGATTCAAATAATCACAGAAGAGAAGAAGGAGCATTTCTATATAGTCAGGATTCTGAATTTTCAGGAAATTACTATTGTGTGTGTTAGATCACTATATAAATCAATTTTCAAGAGAAAGCAGAACATATATGTGATGCTTGTGTAGTGTTCTACATTAAAATAAATTATTAAATATCCAGACTTGTTCATTTGTGCAAACTTACTAAATTTGGAACATTTGACTGCTATATCCCTCAGACTACAATTATCTTCACCTTACCACWGATCTCTAAAAATTGGTGTCTAGTCTTAGTTAGCTGAGTTCCTTCCACAGGGAATAGAGATAAAAAGAAGTATTTCCAAAGAATCAGTCAATTTCCCTAGAATAAAATTATGGTCCTGAATTTTTATTTCYGTCTGGTTACTAAAAAGGATGCATACAGGACTAGCTTAAAACCAGACATGAAAATTTTATATAGGCAAAGGTAGATAACTTGGATTTATTTTGTCTCAAGAAGCATAAACAGGATAAAAATTTTTGTTATCTGTTATTGCATGAATTAAACTCAATACAGCTTAGTGTTCTGCTGCTGAAGCAGAGTTAGGAGCTGGGCAAAATTCCTTTAGTTGTACATTTGATTTGTGACACTAAGGGATAAAAACCACCATCTCACAACGTCAGCTAATCCTTTTTACCCCTTTCTCAGAAATGAAACCTATAGTAYGAGATTATCTCATGAGAAAAAAAATTCTGCAAAATAATTATGTTACATTTGCTATGTAGAGACATTGTTCAATATACCCTTTATTTAATTTTTAAAACTGGCTTTGAAATAGGTTTATGACACTGAGGAGATTCACACAGTTTTGACACCACTGTAATTCAGGCAGAAACCACTAGAAACTGTCTCAGTCTCTCCTAAAACTTTGTCATWTTTCTCAAGGGCAAAGACAATAACACTGGGTTTTTTTTTCTCTGCCTGCAGCACCCACAGTTTCAGATAAACACCTGTCATATGACCATATGCCATCTTTTTGTTTTTTACTTGCACGCCCTTTTATTTAATTCCAACTTAGAATAATCTTGCYAGCACCTATGGAATAAAAGCAACATGTTTCAGCAGTTAACATGCATTCACTATTTTTTAAAAAATATATTAACAATGAGCAGACTATTGCAAACATCTACTCYGAATTTYGTAAGTGTCAGGACTGAAGAACTAYGARGATGTTGGAAAGGCTCCTACTAACTTGTTTGGTTTAGGAACAACCCTGAAAATTTTATCATAAGAAGACTGCCATCTCAAAACAAGTGTCTCAGAGAAAGCACAGAGAGACTGATATTTGCAGAGGCTGCAGTTAAATAAGGGCATTTACCACTTGCCTRCGTTGCAGTTAAGCATCTGTAAGGACTTAAATCTGGGGTTTGTGTGAATTCCTGAATGGCCTTCTGGCTAAGATTCTGCATTGGTCAGTGGGATCTGGTGGAGTTGATTAGCACTGTAACTCTTAGAAGACCAAGGCTTTTCAGTTGCTTTGTATAACAGTTTGCAACTGTAAAACAAGAATACCATTGCATCATTATCTCATCCCTGGTCTATTTGTTTAGAAATAAGCCAGTTAGCCTAGGTATTATCTCCTAACATCAAACATACAGTTCAACTTCAACACATTAAAATGAAGTCTGTAAAATAATAACATSAGTGAAAATTTGAAAATTAGCATTATAGAAGATGGCTTTGCATCAAATTTCCATTGCACAAGGCTCTAAGGTACTCTACAAACTTTAATATAAACTCACTTAACACCTAAATCAAGGAGAAAAAAAAACACGAAAGTGTGCAACTTTTTTTTTAGGGTAGAAAAAAAGAGTGTCATATCCAACTGAAAATAATTACACATATCTGTATCATCATAYATTCATACACATCTGTAATCTTAAAAATAAGCTATTTCAGCTAAATATGGAGTTATGGTTAGAGAAATCAAAGCCCAATGACTGATTAATGATTCTGCCAACTAGACATACCTTCCTGCTGATCTATTTTCTTTAGATTTTGTCCAGCATATATATTTGGGTTCATTAAAAAAACAATCCAAGAAGTCAAAACTACWGGGAATAATTTTTCACAATGATTTGCTTCAGTTAGGTGCCTACCAGCTGTTTGTCTCCTTCAAAATCACCACATTCATTGCAATACATGTGKGAATCAAAGACAGCAAATGTGAAAGAAAGAGATGTACCTGCATACCTGAGTAGTTTGGAATTGTAGCATTGTTTTAGTTCTTAATTGACAAYTTGTAAAGACATCCAAGGAATGAGGTTAGTGAACCTGGGCCACTAACAGTACAAACCATAACATACAAACCAAACAGTACAAAGCCATAACATAAGCCTTCCTTTGTCTATCATGCATTATGAAAACCATGGCCTATTAGTACATTCATTTACTGTATTGAATAAAGTGAAATAAAAAATACCAACAGAGCAGAACTGAAATGCACAAAAGAATTTTAGCAGTCAGGTAGTATCTGCACAAGCAGCAACTCTGATTTRTCTAAGACTGGGGAAAGAAACTCTTTTACAGGGGTAAATACCAATTCTTTGCACAGCTCACATGTTGGGCAGATGTGGAAAGGATCAACTTACAGCAAAGACTATAGTGTAAACCTTGGGGAGAACAGAGCCACTGGAGTTTTATCAAATCTAGTGCCCTCTGATATACTGACACATGAAGTATTGTAGATTTTTCCACAGAAAGGACAAGATAACATGAAACTCTAGCCAGTAGATGTAGTATTTTAAAAAGCTTTGTAAACAGAGAAGCATCATTATCAACATTTGTTTGTCGTTTATTATATTAGTCCTTCACACAGACAAATAATCAATTGTAAAGGCAAGTAAAGAAATTATAAAAGACCAGAAGGTACTGCTCAGCTTATCTGATGTCAGTATTCAGCTGCAGTCCAGAAACAGAAGGATCCTGCCTCACAGCATGGATTCCGACAGCTAACATGCTGTTATAAATGAGTCAGTGCAGGAAGTGAAGTAGCCCTATAAAATAGGCATAAAACTCTCCTCCTCAGAGTGCAGAAGGCAGCAAAAATCAGTAAAAAGTTACATCTGGATCTTGGAGCTACTCATCACTGGGAATATAGGAAAAAAAATCTCCTTTGAACAAAAACTAAAGGAATTAAATACTTGAAGGTGAGAATAGTTTAGATCCAGTCTCTGTATCCAACAGTAGAAAGCTAAAGCTATRTTACTACAGTGTCCTAACTACAGAAAATTTCCACACTGTTTCATGATAATTTTCTGCCAACRTTCATCCTGTTCTCATTACAAAAATCTCCCACACACCAAAATCTACTACTAGCTACAGTTTGCCCTTGGTGTCACAGCTGAGGGCAGAATTTGGTTTGATTACCTCTCTTTACTACGTTGGTTTTTTTTTTTATGATTAACACCAGTCTCCATTACAAACTTAGAGTGCTTAATATTTGCCATGTTTGAAGTATGTAGTTTAACATTTAAATTCTACTTGGTAGAATTGCACAGGCCTGGGAGGTTTTGTTTGCTACAAAGAATTTTCACTCTAATATTAGAAGTGCATTTCATTTCTACATCAAAGTTTGTGCAAAAAAAACCACTCATCAGCAGATGATCTCTAAAAATATTTAATTTTTATCCTTCCTCCCTTTTCTTTCACCTCAGGTATTTTTGTACTAGCAACAGAACGCATTCAAGAATCAAAAAAAAAAAAAAAAATCCTTCCAGCAGATGAGAAATAAAAGTCTTCTGTATATCCAGATACTCTCTTATTCCTTGCATTGCTGCAGATACCTGCCAAGTAATTTTGGCAATAGATAGTTCAGATATGCTATATACCTGACTGCAAAACAAACTACCATAYATCTGAAATGTCTTTCATACATTTTAGAATGTGATGATTCACAAATGGAGCCATACTTCTTTTGGATTAGACTTAATGAAAGTTTAAATATACTGGTATGTTTCTAGGTAGAAAAATAGATGCTTTTGGAAACAAGATTTTGCACTGGGTTTGGAATTCAGAGAAACATGAATTTTAAAAAAAGGAAGCAAAACAAGAAAAATTTTAAATGGTATAATCATACCGTTAAAAGGTACACTTTCAYATATATTCCATATTATATTCCTAATTTTATTTGGGCTGAAAATGATATTAAATTATATAGATAATTATCCACTACATCATTGGAGAATGTAACAGCACCCAAACTAAAGTTGAGATGCCACAAAACACATTTTTTCAATGATAACTATTGATAACAATGTCCCCTCAACCACCAGGGACAGAAGTGTTTCACTAAAATACTATGTTTGACTTCTATGAATATAATATTTTATTTTCTCCAAACCACTCACCCAGAATTATGAACACTTTTGGAATCCYGGCCCTCAAAATTTTTCAGGTGAAAACTTTATTTTTCAGAAACTGTAACATGTGAAGCTYCACTACAAAAAGAATCTGTATTTGTAGCACAGTCTATAATAGCGCAGAACAAACCAACATATAAGCAGGGACAGACTCAAAGTGCTGCTAAAGACTATCTGTATTATCTTCAACCAGACACATGCAGGAGATTTTTTGAAGGACGTGTCAGGTAAYTAATGCTGGATTTCCATTCATGTTTTCCAACTCTCCTCATGTAACGCATTGTATCATGCACTGCCACCAGACAACTTCTTGAAAAAAGTCTTCTATGGTATCCCAGATTCACAGCAAAATTCTGGCATCCTTAGTCTGGGGTGCCATTTGCCAAAAGCAGCTGGCAGGAGGATCACATGTTAATTTGAGTAGGCAGCTATGCCTGGCACTTCAGATTGCATAGYGAATACAGGACATCACTTCTGACCTGATATGCAAGTTAAAGGCACTGCTTGGGGAGAGCATGGTATAGCAAAACCACAGCAAATCTCACAAATTTTTGTGTATATATRTATTGGGAATTTTCAGGCTAGCATTATTACTATTCCTGACTTGCACATATTAAAATCATGTTTCTATACATTTCTTTGGCTTTTCTAGCCCTGTTCTTACTTACCCTTTTTGTTCAGGGACGTCTTCCAACAGCATGCTAAGAAAATCCTGGAAAATGAAGAAAGCAGCACAGTTAGTATGTTTATGAAGCCTTAACTCTGTGTCTGCATTGCTAGTGAGAAATTAAAGACTACAGATAAGACAATGATAAGAAAGATGTTTATATATCCACTACGGTGATATATGGCTCACAGTTATTTATACAATATACATTACRTTTGTCAGTTTTCCAACCCACTCAAGCAAAAAGTGTCAACATTGAAAGAAAATTGGCTTGAAAAGCCTGCTGTCTATTTTAACACAACCCACATTCCTACTTTTATTTATCTACAATACACACACATAAACTATGTTTAAAACTTTTAAAACTACAGATTCACACACTCAAAAGTTAAGAAAACACCAAAATTGAGGACATTTATGCTCTCTTCACTGTGCTTATGTTATCATGTTGTCCTTAATTACATAACTACACAGAGCTTTTTCTTTYTTAGTGCACATGCCTGATTAGATCACACCTGCTGCTCATTCCCTGACAAAATTCACAATGTTGCTGATAACCGCATCACCTAAGGAGTAAATCATTCAAATTAAAGACAGCTAGCATTTCTTTCATGATGTTACAAAGTTGATGCAATGCCAAGGGAAAGAGAATTACTATCACCCTCACTTATACCAGTACGATAAGGAAGTTACACCTGACATCACTAATAGATTCTCTGGCACCCTATGTTCTACACAACCTAATTTTAATAACAATTGCTGTAACAATATACTCCTTTGAACAATCTCATCATAATAGGATTGATTAATATCAATCATTCATTTCATAAAACCAATGCATCTACTTCATTAATCCTACTCTTTGTAGAGACAAGATTCATAGGCTAATGATGTTCCTCACTTCAGTATATGAGTACAGGCTAAATGCTGATTGAAAATCGTTGCTCCTTAAGGTCTTGAAGAATCTTTCCTAAAAGGCAGATATTTTTATTTATGGACCTTGCCATGGCAGTCAACAAGAGATGCTGTTTCTCCATCTGAGAGTGGCATTGTTAGGGAACCAAAGTCAGATTGATTGCACATTGGAAACTGCACAGTTAAGCCTTCCTTCTTTAGATTATAAGTGAGATTCAGGCTGCGTTGCAGTGGCTGTAAAATTGGCTTATGACAAAAAGTAAATTACACAGTGCTGGGCTCAGTGTTGCTGTGGCAAGAAGGCCACCACTAACTGTGACAGGCATTACTCTGTTGCAACTACAGTGTATTTCAGACATGATGATAAAGTGTGAAATCCCCTWATTTATGAATATGACTGCTTGCAGTTTTGTACCATTGTTCTGCATGTAAACAGAGAACTACTGTCTCTTTCCACTTGTGAAAGTTTTGCAGGACATAGAGAGTAATATTACATGCAAATAAAGAACATGAAAAGATCATAAATAGAGCTATTTGAAAAGTGTGTGACTAGTAAAACCAAAGTGGTTGTCCTTCACACTATTTGCACTGTGCATGCATTAATACAGCGAGATTCCCTGGTTGAATTCCATTGACTTTTCACAAYCAATCACACAGTGCACTTAAAGAAACCTCTGGTACCAGGAATGGTTTCATAATCTGTATACTATACTACTGAATGAAGTATCTCCTTTGTGATTAAAGCTATCTTCATTTTTACAAATATCTATAAATAATAAGCCAGTAGCCATCGTGCGACACACTTTCTTAAAATTAGGATTAATCTTTTGTACGTTATTTTAACTGCTCCTATTTTGGTGCTCCAAAACAGAGTAGGAAAACAAATTACCACTTACCTCATATCAGCATGGTTTTTAACATTTGCCTATTACTAAGTCTGCATGAYACGTCATTATAGGTCTGACTTTTCAGTTGTTTATAATTTTGTCAAACTTTAACCATCTGGAGTGAAATTTTATCCTCAGGCTACTTTTTCTTCCTCCACAGACAAAAATGGTTCAGAAATGTCCAAGAGAAAAGTCAGAGGATTATGTAGGGGTTTATAAACTTTTGGAGGTTTTAAGCTTTGGTGCTACTTCTTTAAGGTGCTCCAGTTATTTTAYACTTTGAAGCAAAGACTTGTGGATAACCAGAGTAATTATAAATGAATTCTGGATCAGATTGTAAAACGAATTAAAGTTTGTTGTTTTGACTTCATTGCAAGTAAYTCAATGAAGGTATAAAGAAAATATTAAATAGAAACCACATGCTACCACAGTGCTGCAATATTAACTAACTGCCTAATATTCATATGATTAAATAATTTCACTGCCTTATATACTTGAGACCAGAGACTAGAAAACAACTTTTCCCTATATAAAGAAACTGTCATTCTTCAGTTCGTTGATATTTATTGACATTTGATGAAACTGAAAAAGCCATTGAAAAATGAATTCAAAGTATTTGCTAAGGATCTRCTAGCCCCTCATAAGTACATTTCCTGGTGATTCTTGTCTGCWCTAGCCATAGTCCTGACTAAAGCCAATAACTTTAATCACAACTTGAACCCTCGGCTCTTGCCAGATAGATCAGATCTGGATACAGACTGTGAATTTGACATCAAGGAATGATTTCCTTTGCACTGTAAATGGATGTGCCATGTCTGAATCAAAAACAGAATGAGAACACAAAAACTGAAAAGCAGGTTGAAACAAGTAACCAGAAATGAAGGCTACCTAAAGCAGTAACTATATATATATATATATATATATATATATATATATATATAACTTTTATTTCACGCTGAAGGATGTTTTGTTATTACTCCATTTTTTGTCTTGAGCAATGGTCAGCAAGTTTCTACTCCCGAACTGTTTTGGGGCATCAGTCAAATACTTCTCTCTCATCACACATATTGATATCAAATAAAGAACATTCAATATTGAAAGACAYATTATGTCTTCATGTGACAACCTCAAATCCAGACATTTCAAGTCCTCTAAAACCAACAGATACTTTTGTTTAAATTCTCTAACTGAAATATAACAGGGTCCATGAAGACAATGGAGACRTCATGACTGAAAGTGATAGATCCAAATGGACATTCACTTGGCAGCAAATAAATGTCTACACTGGCATCCAGTACCTTGCAGGAATTATCCACTCAAAGTTAAACTATTCCTAAAAACCATGCAGCTTGTAAATGACATAACCAAGTGGTAAACATTATTTTTTTCCTTTCGGGTGGGAAAAATAATGAGCACCCTTCCTTGGTTCCTGTTTATTTGGAGTTCCTTCCCTAGACATCATCCTTGCTTTTGGTGACAATCCTGGAACACACCTCCAAAGAAAACAACTTCCTATCAAGAGTAAGCGAGACCTGTCCACTACATGCTCTATTTTCAGGCAACAATAATCAGACATACAGCTTATAGTGTAAACTTCAGGTGGTGGAACCACTGACTACCTTTAGACAAAAGTCATTTTGTTGCGCATTGTAACAGACAGAGTTACATGAAAATTAAAGCATTCAAACAATTCTGTTTCTGAGCCATTCTTGTTTCAAGATGAAACAGAGTAACACCTTTAACACTGTTTTCCCTCTGTTAGGAAAACCAGCAACTTGCACTTCTTTCTATTTAGAGTCAAACAARCTCCCATTATTATTTTTAAAGTTCATTCAAAGCAATAAGTGAATTCTCTCATAAAAAGAAAAATAGAAGGTTTTTTAAAGTCCTTCTCAAAGTTTCCAGATTTGCTTTACTGATCTGTTGCTAACTCAACTAAAAYAAAGCTACTATTAAAAACATACTGAGCATGAAGTCAAAACGAACGGGAAAAGGCAAACTGATTAATGTTTCACATCTGAAGTAATTTCCTTGCACCTGCAGCTCCCATCTAGAAAAACTACTACAAACACTGCTGAAAACAAGACTAGTATTCATAACATGGGCAATTTTTCACTGTTTTACTTTCCCTCATTCCCACAACTCCTAAACCTGGGAACTTTTACAGTTATTTTGGACAAAGTGAAAGTACAGCACTATAATATTTAAACTTACCATTTGCACCTCCATTTATTTTAAATCTTTTATTCATTTAAACACTGACAGCATGTTGGTTCAAGAAGGATCTTGAATAAGAAACTTTGTACTAATTTGACTTCATTACTTCTGCATTTACAATTCCTGCTGTGATTCCTTACCTACCCATACCAGACCCCAACACAAACACAATCTTACAGATTTCTTACAGAGACAAAAAATGCATTCAAATTGGATATAGCTCTAACCCATTTGCATTTTTCAGTAACCAAAACCCAATTCTCTTCCCAAGAACTTCACTAGCAGATGGATTTAGGCTGATGTTAAACAAACTAAAACAAAAGCAAACAACAGAAGTTCTAATGTACAATACTCTTTCTCCACCATATCTAGTGGTATTTSCAAATGAAGTAAAGTACCTTCTTTTCTTTACATATCTAAAGTGTTTAAATACATACATACATAATAGTTATRGACATATTGGACACATCCAAACAAAAGGTAGCTACAAATTGACATTACATAGCTAGACAAAGGGACAAGTCTCTAGTTGATGTGCCACCTAGCTACCATGACTAGTTGTACAATCTGCTGAATGTTTCACTGCATCTGAACAGACTACTGACACAACTCACCCCACATCAACCAAGAAAAACAAGGCTAACATTTTCTCACCAAAATCTGAACACCCTTCTTACTACCAGATTAAAACACCAGGCTTCTTCTTGTTGTTAGCAGTCTCATGACTTCTGCAATTTTCAAAATTCTTCCAGCTGTGTAACAGTGAAGCATTGTTTTTATGATTTTGGATGCCATCATGTAGATGGGACTCATCTAGTCACTGGCATTTTCCACACTATGCCAAACTGCTCATGGTCTCAGTAACAACGCACAGGAAACAGCTGCAGCAGTGTTAACTCCCTTAATACCCTCAACATTCCTCCTCAGAGTAGAACTGCTGTGTTAGGAGCCACTGCTTTAACTTCTGGGTGACTCATCGTACAAAAGAAATCACAGGTCTGTAAGCTATTTGTAAGATACCTGGGCATACATCTCACCCAGTAAGAGTGAGATTCAAAACAGCAAGCATGTAAGCAAAGGAATCATTGYGGCTGGAAGAAAAGCAATTGTTAGACCCCAGTTTCATAAAATCACAGGCCCTTACTCTGTGTTTCAGGGAGACATTTATCATCATCCTGAATATCCTCAAAGATTTGAGGATAACTCAAATAACCATAATTCCAGTAAACACTTCAACAAAGAAACTGGTTTCAAAAAGTCACTCATACCCTTTCTCTTCTCTCTTCCCTTGCCCCTCACTGTCATCACATTGCTCTTGTAGCAATGCTAAATATTTGTTGTGTCATGGAGTTTGTTCCAGGCCTGTTTTTTACCACAATGAGTTCAGTGACCTGGTTCACAGACACCCCCGTGAATGGTTGTTTTCACAGCATCACTGAAGCAAGAAGCTGCAGTGCTATTTGTGCAAGCTGGATTCATCACCAGTGACAGGATTCCTAGAACTCTGGGCTCAGAGAGCTGTGTGCTTTCTTAAATCAAAACAAAACTAGAGTCAGTACTTACATTACTTTTACAGAAAGATCTAGTGGGAGGTCTTATAATCCACCTACCTAATKCTAGGTGGGTTTGTCCTTATAAGAAAGGGGGCAAAATTAGAAGCATTGAATGAAACAGCATGCAGAGAGGAAGAAAATAAATTCAGAAGWATAATTTGTCCTCTTTCAGAAACAGAGAGGAATCAGGGAAAAGAATGACAATCAAAAACCACAAGCTACCAAATTACAGGAGGCAATTCCAGTATGGCAAATGACCCTCTCTTTAAGAACAYCAGTATCTGTGAACAGTGACCTTTGGAAGTATCACATTAAAAAAAAAAAAAAAATCACTCATTGTTTATATTATTGGATACTAGGAGGGTGTCTGGTTCAAGTGTCATTGTGAAAAAAACATTCTGCCCTCTAGCAGGTAGGAGTGTTACCTATACTATCAAATTGCAATTGTCTCTCTCTTTACACTACAAGAAGTTATGCAGCCAGTCCAAAAGTTTGGGTTGGCTTTTTTCCCAAAAGAGGAACAAGCCCAAGCACAATACCTGAGAAAGGACGAGCTGCCCATGGAATTTAAGGACAAATTTCCGTAAAGATGCAAGGTATGAGGCCTCTCCTATTGTCCTTGCCAGAGACCGTAAAAGAAAATAACCCTGTAAAAAATTAAGGCAGAAGCTATGAATTTACTGATGTCTAGAAGTCAGAAGTCTTTAAGATATTCATAAATTTCAATAAAAATCAGCTGACAACACTCACCTTCAAATAGTGAACCTGCATGAAGATTTTTTCTGCTTTAAGACCGTATTTGACAACAGAGGCTCCTGACTCACTGGATTCTCCTGTGTTCTCCCTTTTGGGCCTAAAATGGAAACACACTAATTAAGTTTTGGAAAAGTATAGAAATAAGTGATACATTACAGGTTCTGATGTTGGAAGTATTGTGAATGGCATAGTATCTTTAAACACCTGTGACTAGTTCAGTCTTTTGCTTTACCTTAACCATAYAACTTCACTTAAACAGTCAAACTAGTGAATTTTCTACTGAAATGAATTCTACTAAAATTCATCAGTAGTTGGTGTAATCTTTTCACAGATATCATGTCACATGATATCATGTTGGATGTCATTCTCCAGTGCAGACACGTCACAAACAAAGTGAAACAAAGAAACAAAAATAACATTTTAAGGGGAAGGGGAAGTATAGGGGAAGATAGTGAAGTTAATACATTTGACTAGTTTTCTCTTTTTTTTACCTGAAYTTTGGCTTAACAGCTTACATGACTATCCTTGCAAGAATAACCTCTTTCATCTACACGTAATACACTGCTGAAGAAAGTGTTCAAATTTTCATTTTTCCATTTGAGTTGGAAGAAAAATTGTTCAAATTTTAAAAGAGGAAGTATTTCACCAACAGGTTTGAGGTTTACAGACAACAATGTCTAGAAAAAAATCTACTCTTTACTGCCTGATTTTAAAATGTAATACAGCATCTGGTGTGCCACAAACTGGCAATAGTAAAGTGTGCAGGACTTTGAGGCTCATAAGAGCACAGATTGAAACTAAAGGGAAGCAGTGAAAACATTTTTTCTTCGTTTGTAAGAAGTGCCTTCACAGGCATAGTACTGAAGGGCCTCTTGATTTTTTTTCTTCCATTCAGAAAACATCCCAGCTAACAGCAGTCTAATAGATGCCTGYAACCCTGTGACTGAAACAATCTCTCCAATTCTAAATGTGGATTTTGAAATGGCTGGTCTTGGAAACTAAACATCTTTGCCTTCATTACCACAGAACAGGGGAAATAYGGACCACACCAATGCAGGATTCTATAAATCACTCATGCAGGAGTGATTTCAGAAGCTCACCCTTGTAATCAATTTTTTTTCAATATCTATGTCYCCCTTGAGGAAAACATTCTTCCTTTTTTTGTATCTGTGTAACAATTTCTTATCACAGTTTTCTCCAGAGTGCTAAACTGGGGTTTTTTTAGAGATTATAATTAGGGCCTGTGCAATTTTAGCACATGAAATCCACTACACACAATAAAATTTTGATAAAATGTAACTGTTTGAAATAAAAGAAAAAAAAACAGATTAAATTTTACACTGTGTTTCTAACACAGTCCTCCTCCATGCCAAAGTTCTTAAATATCTTTCCAGTAAGATATTCCCTCAACACTGAAAGAAACCTATCAACAACTTTTTTCTTATTCTGTGGCAACTCAAGTTCTCTCAGACTATGTAGACTTTGSAGACCCACTGTAGGAGAGCAGAGATCCAGCTATTTCCCTTCTGGATCATTCTCCTGGCAGGAAGGCTTGCTGACATTCCATACATGACTTTTCAYTGTTCTCTGAATACATAAAAAGCAAAAACTGCTTCATTTCCCTCTAAATAAATAGACCAGTCTATTGACTTTGAAAAACGGAGTTTGAGCACAAGCTACAGAATCCACACTAAATTGAAATCTGTCCCACAATTATTCTAAATTAGGCAACCATACTTCCTCCTCTGACTTTATGCCTGTGTAGACCCTAAGACTGACGAGAAAGGAGTATTGCATCTGGATGAGGGCACTAAAGAATTCCATACAGAAAACATATACATTCTTCTGCAAAGGCTGTACATGTATATCCTTGAATATGTCTGTAAAATAATGTTACTATTTAGAATGTAATCCTGTTCTCTGCTGCCAGTATTCCAACACACTATATTAAAGCAACGCTTACTGTATTTACAAGACATTGAAACTGGAGAGGCAGAAAGCTTGTGACACTGATATTCAAGATGCTATCTGGCACATTTTAGATACTGGCAAATTTTTGAAGGAAGTRGAAGATGCTGCCTTCTCTTTGCTGGGAAGATGAGTATGCTGTACTTGTAAAAGTACAGTTCACTGGGATGTCTTTGGTAATTAAATGCTGTGATGTGCACATGGTCATGAAAATTTACATAGAGACTATAAGAGACCATCTGAAAGCACATTTCCTGTCAGATAGAATAAAACCATAGTCATTATCTAGAAGATGGGTATCAATTTACTCTTCACTTCTACTTGGTGAAAGAAATCTACATTGTTTGAAATAAACAATATTTCCATTGCGCAATAGGAAGCAATTTTTAACTGTTAACACTAACTCACTTATTGAGATACTAATACAGCTTGTCTCTCTTATGAAAACTTTTTTATTGGAGTCTTCCAAGAATATGTTAGCAAGAACCACTTAGTATAGTCGGTGGGTACTGCCTGTATTTCAGAGCAGGAGAATGGACTATATAATTGTTTGAAATCTGTCCCTATACTTCCATGATTTGGTCAGAAATCATGGCTGATTTGAAACAGTTTAGTAAACTCATTAATTTGGTCAAAGGCTATGAGGAGACGAGCCGTACAGGCTCAGTGGATTTTGGGTTAGATGGACATTCAGGATCAAAGACTATGCAAAATTCATAACATACCAATCAGCACAGCCCAGATTATTAATCATTAGCAAAGAAAGACTGTCTTTTGCTATCTACAAAAGAGTCCTGAGTTTAGCATCTGATATCCAAAGACCAAAAATCTATAGTAAATACAAATATTTGTACTTTCTAATGAGAAAGTAGATTTATATAGTTCATTTTAATTCATTTTTTGAAGCTGCATTCAGCTTGAGAGTTAGGTACCATACTACTGTACTTGTTTGTCTTCAYCCACAGAAAATGAATCTGTTATGGCTTCTAACAATGAACTTTGTTCAGGAAATAGCCTTTTCTTTTTTCCCTAAATAGAGGCTCTTGCAAACTCTTTGGAGACATTTCATATCAAACTAAATCCCATCTTTCTGAAAGCTTTCTATAACAAAGGGAGAAGCAATTGTATTATAGTCAAGATGTATAACCTAGTCAGTTTAATTTCCATTTTCCTTTTTTCATTAGAAGGAAATAAGGAAATGCAGTGGATTTAATCAGATKATTTGGATGTATATCTTTTGAAGGGAGAAAATGTGGAAAACAGGAAAGACTAAACATGCAAAAGCACAGATGATGCTGTCATGTTSTTACCTTAAAACTTGCAGCTCTTCTTCAGAGTTTTGCACCTCATCTCTGAGTCTGCGCCAGCGAAGTAAAGCTTTCAATTCCTGTTGCCCTTTTATTTCACCATGTGACAGCTGCTTAGTATACAAAAACACAGATGAATGACTGCTGTTCCCCAACAGAAAATAAAAATTTTCAGAATTTGGTTTGTTTCTCTTTAGTGTGCAGAAAAGGCAGAAAACAGTACCAATATCCACAACAAAGAAATAACAGTTGCTGCTATGAGAGTTAAGAGCAGCACTAAGGAAAACAAAAGTCTCACTGTGCAATAAAGTAAATTTAACTCACTAAATCAATAGTGAGTTAAAGGGTTCTAACTGAGGAGAGAGAYGGGCATGTTGTTTTATCTTTAGTGAATGGCAAGAAATGAACTGAATATACAGTACAGATACCTGGCATAGTGGTTTTGGCTGCATCTTTACTCTTCCTAACTTGAGAGTAAAGAACTACATTATTTACTGACTCCATTCCTCCTTCTTACTACTTCTGCCATACTCATGAAAGCTYCCTGCTGCATTTTACCCCATTTATATAATATTAACAGAGATTCCTACTTATGAAATAAATGCCAGGTTCTCAGCTGACTAATAATTAATAATTTATGTTTCTCTATTATAAGAATAGATGGGAGATTGGGAAAAGCAAAAGCAACTAATATTAATCTGCATTACATTCAGTCACAACGGAAATTATTCTCAGACACTATGGAATACACACATAATTCTTAAATGTGTTGATTGTATAACATCAAAATTACCCAATAATCTTTAAAAGGTATGCTTTACACATTAACAAGGAACTCATCACACTGTTTTTTTGCTTACTCCTTTACATCCMGCTCCAATGAAGATGTCTACTATGATCAAAATGCTTTCAACTGACTCACAAGAGCAAGGAATTAATGTGAACAGCTCACAGCAGCATAGTGATGCTCAGTGTGAGGGCACAGATGAGTTTCAAAACCAAAAGAGAAAAGTCAAATGGTTGGACAGCCTTTCTCTCTTATGTTTTCCAGAAATACTGTACATGATAAGGTGTTCTGTTTTGTTTGGTGCCATAAATATGCCAGATACCTAATAAAATGGAGGTTCAGGAGAGTGTATTATGTCAGTTCCCAGTTCTACCAYGACTCTCGTCAGGTGGAGATCTGCAGATTAAAGGGGCAAAACCTGACAGAGACACAGGAAGAAATGACTGACACATGAAATGATTGAAGTAGCAGAGATACTACAAAAGTAAGAATTGTATCAGAAAAACCCTTCACTAGCTGACATGCAACTTATGAACTTTTCACCTTAAGGCAGGCATTGATTTCTAAGCCTCTGACAAACGAGTAACTTGCTGGGCAGTAGAAGAGGGAAAAAAGTGTAAATGCCAGTGTGACCTATTTGAAATCATTCTGCTTTGAGGTACACTTCTTGGCCATCCATTGGACAAAACCAAACAATTTTAATTAGGAACCTCGAATATTACAATATGCAGTAAGATTTTCATTTTTGCAGTTTTTGGTACACAACAGAAATGGAAAGAATGCAGAGAATTGTTTGATAGTTAAATTTTAATAACTGAGTAATAAATTTGTRGGAAGGTAATCACAGAAAAACAGTTATTTCCATTCTCATTTGCACTGACCTGTACCTTGGTATAATTTGTATTCATTGTGGATCACTTCTTTTTTTTTAGATCAAATTAGCATGCAAATTCCAATACCATTTAAAAAATCTTTACTTCATAGCACAGAATGCTAATTTTATATCTAATTCACATCTGGTATATAATTTTRATTTTCACATTAATTTAATTTTGAAGCAATACGTTACCTGTTGTGCCCTAGCCCAGAATACATCTTCTAAAAAAGTGGCAAAACCTTCACTTATCCACTCTTCAGTCCAGTCACGAGCACCAATGGCCAGTCCAAACCAAGCATGAGCAATTTCATGGCACAGACGTGTTCCACAGAGATGGCTTCCTCCTGGTAGTACACTCTGTGATAGAAAGATGATGTGCGGGCTGCACAAGAGAAATGAGTGACAGAATCCATTAGTGACCTGTTAGAATGTGTATTGCATGGCCATAATAATTACAGAACCAAAGAATGGCCTGGATTGGAAGATACTTTAAATACACTCTAGTTTTAACTTTCCTGCCATGGACAGAGACACCTYTCCTTAGTCCTGGCTGCTCAGAGACCTGTCCAAACTAGCCTTGAACATTTCCAGGGATGGGGTATCCACAGGTTCTCTGGGAAGCCTKTTCCAGTGCCTCCACCATCTTCACAGGCAAGAACTTTATCCCAATATTTTATCTAAACCTGTTCTATTTTAGTTTGAAACCATACTGCCTTGTCTTGTCCCTACATGTTCTGTAAATGGTCTTTCTTTCTTCTAGGCTCCCTTCAGGAAGGCTAATAAAGAAAATAGCAACTTTAGTTACTAAACATCTAAGTTTAAAGTTACTAAAAAAGCCTGTTAGTTTCTTATTAGTGCGTGCATGCTAGGTCACGACTAGTAGTTTAAAGCTCAGGCATTTGCAGGAATTAARTTGTATTTGACTGTTAGTTGGCAGAGAATGAAACAAAAATTCCACCCAGCAGTTGTATYGTGCTCAACCATCAAATAGCTCTTAACTGTAAGAAGGAACTTAAACCAAAGTTTCATTTTTTTCACATTACAATACTGATCTATTTCAATAGAAGCATTTACATATCAGCCAGGATAAGCAGGTGTTAATATTGGCAAAAAAGGTATTTATCAGTTAAATGATCTAATAGGGAGATAAATAAAGCAGAAACACTTAATAAAGAAAACAAATCACTGTCCAAAAATAAAAAGAGTCACGTATAGTAGAGTATGTGCTTGTCAAAACTTAAAACAAGCTAAGAAGACATCATCTCATGATAAGAGCTGATCACTTCTGCAAATGCAGAGGAAGRAGAACATATTTTACTATAACCATGGGAGTGAGAGGCAGTAAATACTTGCATTTCACAACAGCAGGGGAACAACCCAGTCTGTATCTACTCTGCTTTGTACTCCAGCATTATAAGAAGAAATTTCAGGGGGGAAAACTGTTACGAATTGTCACTCTGCTATTGAAAATACTCTGAACTGCAAGTTACTGCACTTCCCAACTCATGTGCTACTGTAAGGCAATTTCTGCTATGCTTATAACATTGCAGACATTAATATCTCAAAACTTGTACAATTTTGAAACCAAATAGATCTAGGACATAAAAGTAGCAGAATTAAGCCCTCTATAATATGCAGTGGGGCTCCATGTCACAGATGGGAGCAGCAAGTACACAAACGAAGACCACCATCCACAGAGTGCTCCTGTACCCATGGTACCCATAATCTGTATTTCAACTCTTCTCATYCCAGTCAGTTGGAAAGGACATAAAGCACAAGGGTAATACCTTCAAGACCAGAGGTCTTTAAGTCTAGCCTTCCAARCATGGGAGGGGAGTGTATGGCCTTAAGACATTTCCAAAAGTCAAATATTATTCGTCAGCATTCCAAAGAGCTTCCCCACCCATCCTATCCTTCCGCTGGAAATGTTAAAACACCCATAGTTTTCGTGCAACCAGTTGAATGTCTGGAACTGAGATCATAAAATATGATACACACTTAGACAGAAAAAAAGTACTCAATAACCATGTCCTTACAAAAAAAATAGTAGTTACCCAGCCAAGAAAGTTAATACATTTCAATCAGATGGCATTGTAGGAAACAATGTAAGAAATTAAAGTACTAAAYTGAGGAATCAAGTAACACAAAAAAAGGAAGTAAAAACAGCAGCTCTCCAATTCTTTGCCAAAAGCAATTTTGATTGAGAGAATGAAGGGACAGAGTGATAGGGGAAAGTGTGAGCACAGAAGCTGCAGAACATGACAAATCTTTTATTATAAAGTCCCTGATAAGAAAAATAACCAYAACTTTGAGGGTAGTTCTTTGGTCAGCTGTAAGTAAGTAATCCCACCAACTGTGGCACGTGCACAGTGTTACAACGAAAATTTGAAGAAATAGACCAAGTAAATAACATTCCAGACATACTGGTGGCAACATTTTGRCCACTTGGTTAAGCAAAACAAAAGTAACTTCATGCCTCATAAACAGGCTCACAGAACAGTTTGCATTTTAAGTCCACTGTAGGTAAATAYGTTATAAAGATTGTATTTGTTGCTTTCTCCAATCACTTAAAAACCAGAAATGCCACATTTGGGCAATATTCTCTTTTACAGATGGATTAAAAATCACTCCAGTGAGAAAAATGTATACGAGTTAAMTTTTGGCAAAGAATATGAGTACAACTTCTTACAAGGTTAAAAATAAGATTATGTGCTGCAGCAGAATTTAATTTTAGAGTCTGAGTACAGCCAGCAACTTCCTTTCCTGAGAACACCTTAAATTATTCCTTTTATTTGTTTTCCTTTAATAAACAGTTCTATCTCCAATTCAGACCACTGAAAAGTTCTCATTATTCTTAAGAGTAATTTTATCAAGGACTGAACATGCCTCTGGAATATGTCCAGCACCTATTAGTTTGGGAAGAAGTTTGAGTCTATGTATATGTTTAAAACATAGATTCTCTATTTTCAATACATGTTTGAATTYCAGAAACTCTGCTCCACCTATATTGATACCAGCCAAATCTACCTTTTTAACATCATCTAGGATGTGMAATRTTCTTAGAATCATAGAATGGTTTGTGTMAGAAAGGAYCATGTAGTTCCAGCCCTGCTGCTGTGGGCAGGAACACTTTCCACCAGAACTGGTTGCTCAGAGCCACAGCCAGACTGGTCCTGAACATCTCCAAGGATGGGGCAGTCCACAGCTCCTCTGGGAAACCTGGTCCAGAGCCTCACCACCCCCACTGTAAAGAATTTTTTCCTAGAATTTTTTCTAATCTAAACCTTCTTCTATCTTTGAGCTAGAAGCCATCCCCATTGTCCTGTTTCTATCTGCTCTTGCAAAAAGTCACTCTTCATTTTCCTTGTAGGCTTGCTTCAGGTATTGGAAGGTTGAAATCAAGTCACTTCAAAACCTTCTCTTTTTCAGGTTGAACAATCCCACTTCCCTCAGCCTGTACTCATAAAGGAGGTGCTTTATCTCACTAATAACCTTGGTGACCCTCCTCTGGACTCACTTGATCAGGTTCATGTACTCTCTGTGTTGGGAAAATGTTATGAAGGTCATTAATTGCACATTGTTACTTAGCAGCATTGTTCCTAAAACACTCAATAATCCAAAGTGTCTAAGTGAAAAATAAGATAATTGGACTGAAAATTAAATTAAATTGCAAGTCCCAAAACTTTTTTTTATGTTAACAAGAAGAGATATTTGGCCCTCCTACCATCTTTCTGATTTACTAGGAACAAAGGTTTGATATCCATTTCTTTGGTTCTACTTGAAAAGAAATCCATTCATACACTAGAAATGRACAAAGATGATTCACCTCAGAAAGTACATCCAGACCTGACAAGGCCTGTGCAGCTTATAAATGCCTCTAGCAAACAGGGTCCAAGGGCTTCTACAGCAGGCCAGAACAGGCAAGCTGGATGTGGTTAGAAAGATGGGAAACCTCTCCCAGTTGACAAAAAAAATAACAACCCCACCAGTCCTTCCCAGGAAGCTGGACAAGTTCCCAATGACTCTAAGAGAAAAATAAGTTAATGACTTGTTTTTGACAATATACACTTGGTTACACTTCTGAAGCAAAAGAGCATTATTCTGACCAGAATCCCACGCTCATAACTCAGATATTCACATCACTCAACTGGAAGAAGGAACAAGTTGCTTCTCCCAGTTAAATTGCAGTTAAGGGAAATCTCAACACTCTAAMTATGGCATGAATGCATACAAAGGAAAAACTAAACCTCAAAGGGAATGAAATTGTTGGTGTGAAAGGCCAAAGAATCCTGATGTTTCAGCCATTCAAATCCACCCCTGCAGATGTCCTTAACTGAATAGTCTCTTCAACAAATAAAATGTTTCCAATTAACTCTAATGCTCTAAACAGTAATCAAACCATTTGAGAAGCCAAATCTCTAASAACAATTTTTCAAAACTTTCTCTAGACTTATTATTTAGATGCAAGTGCTGCTTTACACACAGTCTGCAAGTGTGCTATYTTTGGCTGCTCACACATAATCAGATGAGACACACAGCACAAACCCTAGCCAAATGTATGTGCCAGAACTTAAATATGCATTTAAGATGGGAATATGAAGCTAATTTCTAACAATCTTGTTCCATTCCTTTTGAAGTAAAAATCTTTCCCTCAACACACAGAGATTTGCACACACATTTTCTAAAATACTTGTTGAAATAACAGAGCCAAGACCATTGCCACCTGGGAAATCATGCTTCTTAAGTTAAAAGTAACACCAAAAATCACCATTATGGATAGCAGTTATACATATATAATTTATATAATATTTTGATTTTTCTGTTTAGAAAAAAAAGTAATCAGATAATAATGGGTGAGATAGTTATTGTACTTGTAAAAAGTCCCTTCTTAATTATATAAAAGTAAGCAGGGGAAATCTCTCTTAAATATTTTCATAGGAAAATATTAAAATTAAGGTATACATTTCAAGACTGCAAAATTTGAAGAAGTTAAAAAATTAAATGACAGTTCTTTACAAAGAGTTTGTGCAAGTGCAACCAAGTGTAAATTCTCATCAGTTCCTTCAACCCACATTCTTCCAGTGATACAAAGAACAGTATTAGCACGATGTCTGCAGTATCTTCATCAGACTTTGACTGCTAGCTTAATTTACCTTTGAGGGGTATTGTGGCATTGGAATACACACACAGGAACATACAACATCCACTTTCTTACCTCCATATTCTCCATGGTCTAGYGTAGGTTACAGTCCAGCACTGAGAGAACTACAACCTTTTTCATCTCCTAGGTTAACAGTATACCAGAAACTCAAGAATAAATTCAGACACAGTTGTAGAGACAAGGATCTGGTAGACAGAATACTCTTGAGCACTGTTCCAGAA